TGTTATTTGAAAAGTGTCATTAACTTTGTCACACTCCAACTTTCTTGAGAAATGGGATCAACATCTTAGTCCCAAAGTTCTATTTGAGACAAATGTATAAAATACAGTAGCTATGTTACGCAATCTGTGCGTAACATTTCTAACACTATGGTGGTAAATGTGAAGTCATTTTATAATCAATATCTCGATTCCAACGCAGTGAAAGAATCGAGGCAAATGATTTTACCGTGCAGTCTTCGATACAGTTCCTTCTTTGACTTAGCAAGTCTTATGATGTTTAAATGACTTACTTATACATTCAGATTTTTTGACGGCTGTGCCGAGGCACGGCCTTTACACTACCCGCTTCTCCCACTGGATCACCTGCGACAGTGAGTGATTCAACAGCGCTGATAAAATGAAATGCGAATATTAACGCTCTGCTCAAGATAGTTTATATTTGGGCATCGAGCTGTTTATATGAATCTTACGTGATGTGCAACTCTGATAGAAGTGTCTGAAGAAACTAAAATAAATCTTCCAGGATTTTGAAATCCTAAAAGAAACGCAGCTCGAAATACTCGTTAATGACATGAAAAAAGGTAGTGTTATAAAACTAGAGTTGTGCACGTTCAACAGCCACGTAATCTAGTAATCAGACTTTTATTTTGTTATTAACATTCACAGTTACGTAGTGGGTATATACACAAGAGTCCCACGTAACTCGGAACCCACCTACTAGTATACGACGGCCATGTTCCGTGCATTTCCGGGTTGTTCGCTCGCTGTTATCCCTGCATACTGATATGGCGAGTTCCACTTTGGATGGGGAACCTGTTTTAAAACCGAAAGTCGAACCAATATATACATACAAAAATTCACAGAAATCGTTCGTGCCCCAGATATCTAAAAACCAACTACAGCGGATGAATCTGTATCTGATTAGAAGCTGTGGGTGAAGTATCCCAGCCAATCGAAGTGAATCTGTATCTGATTAGAAGAAGGTGTGGGTGAAGTATCCCAGCCAATCGAACTCATTTTCGCCATCTCTCATCGCCGCATCTGACCGTCAACGAACGCAGTGACCCCACAGAGTGAAGCCATAGTTCAAAATAAAAATTCCATGCATTAGGCATAATTGTATGTGTACCTTTACATATTTTTTGAAAGTGCGTGAGGATTTATTCATTGTCGGTGAAGGAGTAAAAAGCTTTAAACATTGGACTAGTCTGCAGACCTATAAACAGATTTCTTGAAGTTTTCACGTCGGGGAGTCCGAAGATGGCTGAGTTTTGGATTGTACCGCCGTGTAGTCTGGCAAAATTTAGCAACATTTCAGAGGTCCTTGCTGCCTCCATCATCAGGGCGATGAATAATAAGAATACACGGTGCTACAACACAAAGGAGAGCCGTCTTCAGATTTCTTGATTGCTTTGCTCTAAAGGAGTTGCAATGTTGAACTAATGAGCCAACGTAATCGTGCTCAGGTTTCAGAGTATCGTGCCGTGCAGTTAAATATTATGTCCGACTGGTGTAACTTACTGTGATCAAAGCACCGCTGCTATGTGTAAACTCAAACTGAGTTTATAATTCAAGGCCTAGTCACACTGAGCGCGAAAGAAAATTGGTCTGTGATTGGCTAAAGTCGATCGTTTGTGAGCAGTGTTTAAATAAATGTCATATATATATAAGACGCCATATGAAATTACCACATTGAAACCTTATACAGAAGCGCAGGTATCTGTCAACGTGTGACAAGTGTTGGAAGTAATTTAAAAGATCCTGTGCACACACGCCGTAAAACATTATTTGCACGAAGTGCATAGTGATAACGCATTATGGAACTGGACGTGTCTGTCCGTCCGGTCGATTCAACTCCAGAACCACTTGAAGGATTGTGATGAAATTTGATGTGGAGCTTGTGCCATTCTGCACGACCACAAAATGGTAATTTGATAACAAAATGACGGATGAGAAGAGTCGTGAGGTGCTACGTACGATCTGGTGACCATAGTAGAATTCTACACCGTTGAATTCTTTGAAGGTTTATAGCAATATGGTAATCGTGGTTCGTATTGCCATACGTGGGGATCAGCCGGTGTTAGGACAGCTTAGGTTAGGTTAGGTTTTTGTTTCGGTAAAGAAATTTTAGTTAGGATGTTTTTAAATATGAATGTTAAATGTTGGAATTTCGAATGTGGGTATTATGAAATTATTAATTCTGGATTTCGAAATTCAGAAAACTTTAAACTTGTGGGTGTTCACAAATTTTGAAAATTATAAATTTATTTCGCGGAAAAGGCGGACGTAATACCTCTAAATGCAAGTTACGAAGAACGCATGAGGTTATTATGTGTATTCCGGTACGGTAAACACTTTCCGAGCTTGTTATGAATTATCTCCAATCCTCCTATAGCCTTTATTAGTTGCTTAGGCACAAGGGATTCCGTTGATTTGAGGGCTATATGGTTCTCTGTTTGGGAAATTCATTATCCCTTACAGTTCCGATCATTATTTGTCCATTCAGTATATTACAAATTAAAATATTAGCAGTACAATTACGGAGCTCCTCGTCACTGTTTTCTCACCAGTTACCTCATCTCTCTCAGGTTCGAATATTTTCAACACCTTGATTTATTAATGTGAGAGACCAAGTTCCACTCCCAGATAAAACCGGTAGTTTTAATCTTTGTTTTGTTAGCATACAAGAATAAAAAACGTTCTCAGGTGCACAGTAGCAAGCATATCCCGAAATTCTTTGTGAAACATTTTTAATATGCGGGTTTCCTACGATGGGGATTTATCAGCCCCTGCGCCCCAACCTCAGAGTGGTGGATCGCCCTATTTCGGCTCTCCGCTACTGCTTATTCGCTATATTCGACAGCTACCATCCATATCTGAAAGCCTTCTCCACCTGAGGACGTGTCATTCCGTGGTGACAATGGACCCAGACATGGCTGAATTAAAATATTCCAAAAAATGTAAAGGCCTTGATCAAAATTTTGTTACAAATGCTGCCGGTTATAAAATAGGCCAACCGTGCCCTGTTCAGGACTAAGATCATCAAACGAACGAATTTAGTATGGAGACATACGTCGAAAATGTCAACGGGCTGAGTATCATTTGCCTTGGGTATGAGAACATTGCCTACTTTTCATTCGCATTCAAGTGTTTAAATATTCTTCATATGTTCAATATTTTCGGACAAGATCCAATGCATTGTAAACTTGTCAGATGAACATGTGATCACATATCCACTGTCAGACTGACAAACGGTTACTGCAAAACAAATCAGCACCTTGCTGAAAGACACAGCGCGCAGAAACAGACGTCCAATATGGTGGCAGCCTGACAGATAGTAGTCATGTTTCAACCGTCAATTTAAAAAAAAATCAGTTTCCCACAAACTCTTACTATTGTAGTTTTGAGTGACATACTTTAAAAGATAACACGGCTGTCCTATATAGACTTTTTTGGTCTCCATATAATTTTTTTTGTTCATATCGAACAGCCCATGTGGCAGTTATCATGTTTCTGTCACAAATGGACAAGTTATGACATTGCTAATGACATCTCCTCATCCCTCCCGCGTGGTCATGCCCTGGAATGGATCGAAGCATCAACACATCGGCTGACATATCCCCCATACAGCTCACGACTATGACAGGCCTGGAATATGGTTGACACGCAGCGAGGGGGCCCTGTAACTATCAGCTGTCACGTTATCATCATGCTCATCATAATAAAACACGATGGCTCCCAAGCCAACAGCTTATCCAGGGCAGTGATGCGTCCCTTTCTCCTGTCAATGCCCATAGTAATAACTATACCCGTCCTACCACTATCACCTCTCCCACATCATAGTCTAAAAAGTCGCTTTCGTAATTGCCCCCGCTTAATTTACTACATAATTTTGAAACTAATTTATATGCAATCCACGTCACGTAAACATAGACTTGGTTATTGTGCAGTCGAAGGCCAACATGAAACGCTCGCGCACACGGTCTGCGCAGAGCTTTACGAACGTGTGCAAGAAAAGATTACATCTACAGTCAAAACTTGTTTCTGCCGTATTGTCACGATTTCAATAACTTTTCCTTTGCACATCTCTGACGATTTCAAATTTAGAAAACATTTAATTCTCCAAAGTTCGTTTTATCATATTCTTTCCATTTAGTACAGTGATCTTTATAGGAATTGCTTGAACACTGCCAATATCTAATTACTGCCTTTCTTTTGCAAATGAGAAAACATCTTAATTAAAGCATTTTATTATAGTGCGTATGCCAAGATGTTCTAAATTTAGGGCAAAAGATCATAGAGGAATGTTGTTCCACGAGTCAACGCAAAGACCAACTTATACACGGCGTCTTATCTTCAAATTCGTATAGTCGGCGCAGTGGAGAAGCTAGCGGAGCTGGCGGACGGGCCTACTCTGTGTACCTGAGGTGGCACGGTCAGTGCATTTCTTTTGTTTGGGCGTTCAGTCCGAGACTCGCTCCTAGCCTTCCCCTTGAAAATTCCACCGGCCAAAAACTACTGCACCGACTATAACACAGAGTTCCTTTTTAACTTCTGCCAAAGAAATATGTTGTACGGCCACATTTTTATGATCCATAAAGGTAATTTATGTTACGTAAAGTTAAATGGCATTTGTTATAGTATTTATTACAAATAATTTTGATTGGAGGGTTAAATGGATTGGAGTATTTACGGAGGAATAATGGCCGAGATTCATTCTGCATAAGCATAAAACAAATATACAAAATTAATTCTACAAACAACATTTTATTAAAGCGATGTGGAAACTCAACATTATTTACATTTATTTACATGGATGTCAAAAAAAATATTGATAATGTTTCCTGAAATAAAAAATAGGGTAGAGGCTAAATACCATAATATAATGCATGTTCCACTTGAATATGGAGAGAAAGTTATTGAAAATGACTGGATTGTGATGTAGAGCCATACTCGTTAAGTTGAAAGCGGTAAATGGTACATTGGCTCTATAGATAACATATAGATAATCCACTTTAAAAATAAAAAATGCAAACATTCCAGACAAAAAGTACAATCAGAGAGCTCAATGAGAAGTACCTGAAACTTTATACTCCACTCACTTCACAGGTGCAATTCTTTCGTTTGTTCTGCGTGTGTTGGAGGGCCTTCAGTTATATTTAAATAATTTATAATAAATCTTTCAACCAGGTCACACTACCAACACGATATATTAAACCAAGAAATATCACAGCATCATTTATGGACAAGGTTGTAGTCCGGCAATAAACAATGTCTGTCCAATCACATGTCATTAGATACAGCGTACACATTTCAACGAGTCGTAATAAATTATAGATGAAATGAAATAATAATAAAGCTTCATTCACTTCAATGTTAAGATTTAATAAACTTAACGTGACATTTATCTCATATATAATTAAAAATAGGCTACTTTCGCAGCGTTTTCTTCTGCGCCGTGGTTTCGAAAAAGAAAATGGAAAAAGAACTGGGTGTACTTCGTCTGGTGCTCACGGATGGACGGCTGCAGCACCTATTCGTTGACCATAGACAGAGTACGGGTTGTAGTACGGGCCTAGGGCCGTAGGATTGAACGCGCTGTAAGGGGAGGCTGCCAAGGAGGCTGGGAGCCCGGGTTTAGAGTAAGGGTGGTGCCTGGTCGCACACAGTGGCGTCAGAGGCGAATTCGGATATCCGGCGGTACGGTGCAAGATGCCCGACGACGACACCAACGTATTGTGGTTGAGGAAAGACATGGTGGCCGAAGGGGTGTCTACGGCGAGACTAGGGTGCGTCCTCAAGTGCTGCAGGAGCTCATCGGGCGCGTTGAACCTCTTCCCACAGTAGTTGCCGCCGGCAAACCAATTGCAAACGTATGGCCGGCCAAGCTGGTGCGAGTATGCCAGCGGGGGAGGGGCTGGCGCTGGCACAGGCCCAGGCCCAGGCGGCATGAGACCTGACAGCGCTGCTGCTGCGGCCGCCAAGCTGTATTTTTGGTGCTCGCACTGGGTGCACCCACTGGGGCAGGGTGTCGCAGAGGATCCACCGAGCAGCAGTTGTTGGTGGGTGTTGTATTGGCACCCTGTGCAATAGGGGTCCTTGCACACAGGCACAAGTGCCTCGCCTCCAGAAGCCGTCTTCACTCGGGCGTAGTGGACGTACGGGCCGGGCGCCGTCGGCGGGTAGCCAGCTGCCAGCATTGCCGCGTGGTGGTGAGAGAACGGAACTCCGGCAAATGGTGGTCGGAAGGCTGGGTTGGTGGCTTCTAGACCTGGAGGGCACCCAGAACGCAGAGAACCAAGTGGTCCGAGGCCACCAGAATTGTAGGTCCCAAGAGGTATATCACTTGGATGTCCTTGAAGAATTTCTAGACCAGATCTAATTATCGGGCTAGCTCCTTCGTTGCGGCCAGCAGCAGGCGACACGGACCTTCCGCGTTCAGTAGAGCCAGGGGTTGCAGGCGGCACTGAGGTTTTGCCAGCATCGCCAGGACCTGGTGTTGCACCACTGTTGGTGGGCGGCGAGGCAGACTTACGACTCGGAGCACGCGAGCCTGAATTCGATCTCTTTTCTTCCCCACTTTCTGAATTGTGGACACTTCCAGCTTTAGACGGAGGACGATTGTCTTCGGACTTCTTACAGAGAACGTTGGTCTCGTACGGCTTGAACGCTAAGCCACCGGCCCCTCGCGCGGGCTCGGCCGGGCTGGTGCGAGCCACCGGGGTTTTGTCGGCCTTGTGGCCGGCACCGGTCGGCGGAGTCACGGCAGAGTTGTCGCTCACTGCCGTTGGCTTCTTCGGCTTCTCCAGCGGAGGAATCAGTGGCTTGGTGTTCGGGGTATCGGCTCCGATCTGGCTACAAGTCTGCGCGAGCAAGGCTAACGGGCTCTTCTTCGCATCCAGCTGCAATAAAGCACACGGTATTGCGATTCTGCATTACAAGTGTGATTACAGCTCTTGCTGTGTGAGCCACTGATATTACGGTGCAAAAGAAAGTCATCAAACAGAATATGCGATAATTGTAACATGAAAAGTGCACTCACTCGATGTGAATCAAAACCCAAATCAGTCCAAAGAAAATATAAGAGTATGATTGTGAGACGTGAAACCGTAATTTATTGAAAAGGTTGGTGCCGCTAATACACACTGCAATGATATATAGAACAGCTTGTGGGACAGGTTCAACATCATTAAGGCATAGAGTACGATAAATTATTCCTAATACGCAAAGTACACTGGTAACTGTCAAATGTACCGATTATGTACAACGATTCCGGCACTCCCAGACTTTCGGGGGTTATACGACCAGTACAACTCAGCGGACAAGTTCAATCAGGAAAATCAAGCGTAGTAATAGCTTATTTATGAAACCATAATACTGTAACTGTTGCCTGTAGTGCGTAATCCACCTCAGTATCAAATGCGTCATCCAGACCAAACCAGAGCTGTGTTCCCTCAAAACTGGCAACTGAATTACTCCATTACGTATCATCCATATATTGAACATAATTAAATTCCGTATCTGCCTGAAAGAACCTAATGCACCCCTAAATTATTAATTCACATTGCAGTTATTAATTGTCATGAGTTTCCCTATAATTCCCATAACTTTGATTTAATTATAGGAAGCTTTTGGACTGTGCAATAGTTTGTTACATAAGTAGTTTTTTTTTAAATTTTCAAGCATATACACTTGTTCGCAGTCGTATTAAACACAAATATTTGGTATATTTTTCGAAAATATACGTACTTCTGTTAAAACAAATTGTTTGACTTATTGACGTTTACAACAGTTACATACAATTCCAAGTAATGTGGCAAACAGTTATAATTTTCGAGCGCGAGTCACAAACAGTGCGTACGTAAAAGTAGTATGAACCAGAAACTTTCAGGAGTAAAATTACGCATTTTTATTATTAGTTTTGTTACTTACCGTAGTAGGAAGCGGGGAAAGGTAGTCCGGCTGCAGATATTGATTGCTTCCGGTAGTCAACATGCCTCCACCTTCAAGGACCACCATTAGGAATCACAACTCAATAAACAGAAAACACTTGTCCACAAAAATAATACAGATGAACAAAGGCGAACTCCCAAACCGGAAACTCACTGATACACACAATTAAATTTCACAAAATCGTGCTGAGAAAAAACAAAACCTGTGGAATAAGCTTGTTATGAGTATGATCCAGATGTAAACTGTTCACAATCCACTAAATTCAGCGTCGGAACTAGATCGTTCCGCTCAACACACAAACACAACCACACTCCTCAACAAGGCAACTCTCTCTGTGTACTGGCACTCTCTCCACGTCCTGACTCGTGCGCCGTGCACTGCGCCATCTACCCTCCCCTCCTCTATACCCCCACTTTTCTACCTACGTATCCCCCACTTCTCGATGACGCAGCGCTAATACCACTGCGTTTCATGCTGTCAGCTTTTACCACCCATGGCGCTAGTGACGATGACAGCCCCCGTCGTGGCTTTGAAGCCTTGCCGCCCTACCTTCTCATCCTTGAGTCCCATCACTGCAAATCCCCGAACTTGCTGGACTGGTCCATTCCCCTCATCGGACTTAATCAGTAGCCTCCCCACCTCCACCAAAAAAAGAGGACTAGTAGACAAGATGTATGGGGCCATTGAGTGTGGTGTTTGATGGATGACAAGCAGCCGACACTGCAAGAAGGGTCGGACTGAAGCAGTTAGGGTAAGATACGGAGACTGGTTATAAACTGTTGACTCAACTGGATCGAGACCAGAATGGTCTAGTACCACACAATACGTGTACAGCACTAGTCATATTTACTACAGCAGAATTGTTCGTATCCAAAGCTTCTCATATTTCAAATTCGAGAACGAGTAGTAATTTAATATTCCCCAAAACGGGTGCTGAGAGTTTTTAAGAATGCGCAACGAGTATTTCTGCATTCAGGGTGACGGTTTATAACACCGGAAAATTTATTTGGGAAACTTCTCTTCTCCATCTGTCGTCAGAAAGTTCGTTACCTGAAGTAGGATCTTGTATTCTGACGCAATTTAAAGGGGCATTATCCGGACAAATTCTGCGAAGGTTTTGTTATGAAACATGAATGCCAGCAGGTAAGATTCAAAAGGCAAATTTCAATCAAACACATTTTTATTTGTTGTAGAATAAAATAATTAATGTCATCAGCTGTTTTATTGTTCCAACTTTATTTTAGTGGCGTACTCCTTTACATGCAGTTGATTCCGGTTAATTGGGACACATCGGGGTAAGAAAACTTTGGCCCATTTAAGCGGATGCCCAAATTATGCAAAGTTCCACGTAAAGAGTTAAAAAGGCTTGTTCTTTAAGATTTGTCCTAAATAAACGGCTACCCCGATTATGGCCCAATTAAACGGAATCTACTGTATTTAATTTTTTGATTTAGTGTTGTTTTATTATAGTCTTCGTTTTATCTATCGACGCTTTTAGTTGCCAAGATTATATAGCGCCAAATAATTTTCTTAACGACATTGGAGTTTCTCGCACGCTAGAAGGAATCTTGAAACTGACATTTTAAAATTGCATTAAACTACATTGCAATATTAAACGTATCTGCCATTAACGTAGTAAATACGCAGAATACGTGAAGCCAGATTTCGTTGTCAGATTAGAAATCAGAAGACTAATCGACGGAGGGTATGGTGAGATGGACAGGACGTGTAGCACACATGAGAGAAATGAAAAGTTTATGATTTCAAGTAAGAAAACCTGAAAGTCTGAGGATCTTTTGGACGTGTTGACGAAGATAAGAGGACAAAACGATCTTAAATAAATGGAATGCTAAGCAATTGACTGTATTTAACTGCCAGTGATGGGCTTTTACGAACACGGTAAAGAACCTTCCGGTTCCATAAAATTTGTCTAAAATCTTGTTTTTTCTAGTCGCTTGTACTATGTCAATTCTTAACAGTCATTTCTCATAATTTTATTTGACTGATAAGTAATTCTAGAGTATTTAACGACGGTGAATTATATAGCAGCGTCCGCTGATATAATAAATTATCATAAATGGTATGTTAAGGACATGGCAGGAGATGATTCTAGACTATTCCAAGGCAGAGTATGCCTGCTTTTGCATCTAAACCAAATTCACTAAATACCTTACTCAGATTAACTAGTAACTTTATGAGATTTATTAAAAGTAGATCACCCGAATAGGCTTACAAGTCTAGATTCTAGATAACTACATTTGCAATAAAAAAAACTCACGGTTTTGTACGGTAGACATAAATTCTTAGATGTGAAAATTTGGGCTTGCCTTGGCACGAGGCACGAAATGTAAGTCGAGAGGGTAAAGATCCACAAATTCTTTATTTCGATAATATATAGAGGTGAGTGGTCACTTTCACAATTCATCTGGCTTTATCGTGGAAAAGGAGCCCTGTTGGCCTTTGGATTTAAGGTTGGGGATATTTTTATGTGTTTGTGTAGTATATTTCGGCCCATTTGAATGTCCAAAACCAAAGTACAAAATTGACAGATTAGCTAGAAATGGGTCTAGACTTTGTCAAGATTGTAAACAGGATAGTGTGCGTTTGTGATGGTTACAATAGGAGAGTGTACTCCACCTGGTCTTTGAAGTCTGACAATGTTGGTTAAACAGGGAATGTATTGAGTTCAGGGCCTAAGAATTAAGAAACTGACAACATGTTCATAACAGGCAGGCCTGTTCAGTTTTCATAATATTTATGTAAAATTCATAAATTTGAGGAGCACGTTCAGTTCTAAAGAGTGCGAAATGCAGATAAAATGTTTCAAGATTACTATCTTATGGGATCACCCAGATGATGGAAGCAGCAAGGATCTCCGAAACGTTGTAAAAATTCTACCAGACAACACGGTGAAACAACCCAGAACATAACCATCTTTAAACTCGCCACCGTGAAAACCTCAAATCCTACAAAAGGTTTCAACTTAGACAAAACGAAACCATGGTAATTTTCCTTTTCGGGTGATATAGAACGAGAGCATAGAAGTTATTTCTTGTCAGGTACATTAGCCCTATTAAACATTAGTGGCGACTATACAATATCTGCTTTAACAGTCTATTATATGACTGCATTTTGACAACATGTTTCTAAAAATGTGTATTGTTTCCCTAAATAGCACGGAAAATTGAATTTCGTCGTGTTTTTTTTTTGGGTAGAGACTGGATGTTTAAATGTTATTTAGATGAGTACTGCTCGGCTACAACGTGTTAATTACAGAAAATAAATGTTAATTCACTTTGAAGTTGCTTTTAAAAAGAATACAAGCCTAGGTCTAATCATTAACAAAAAGACTACGCTTGTATGAAGTTAACTCCCAATTGATTAATCCTGCACTGTTTACCCACGTCGACATTTCTATATAATGAACACAAACACATAGGTCTGTTCAACATCAATCATTCTTTCGAAATTTGATGCTTCCGGAGGTATCCATTTTGATTCTCGATCGCCATTCTAGACCAGTGGTAGTCAAACTGGAGTACGCGTACCCCCGGGGGTACGCGAAGACATCTTAGGGGGTACGTGAAATAAAAAAAAAAATATTATTTTATGATAAACACTGAATAGTCAGTAATTTAATTTATTTAATTTATTTTAGATGTAGATTATATACTATGTATAACTTGAATTATACACCAACAACTTTGGGGGTACAAAGTTGAAGAGAAATTATATCTGGGTGTACGCGAACAAAAAAGGTTGAATACCACTGGTCTAGACTAGCATTAGACCTCTAGGCGTACTAGTGTAGTATTCAAAAGTTCTAGGATTCGATTCTAACCCTCGACTACAATCTTAAAAGACAAAAATTGTTGTGAGAATAAATTGTCACTTAAATACTAGGGTACAACCAAGTCCTGAAACGTCGTATAGTTACGTAAAATATATATCATACAATGGACAGTGTAGAACATAATTACGGTATTGTAAACCAGACATTGTCACAAACTCTATAGAATTACGATTTAAACTTCGTGCTTGCGTCACTCTACGTATTCCGACAT